TCTTATATTTGGTAGTGTATACAATACCATGCAGGTCAGAGGCCCTTGACATTTTCCTCCTAAAGAACCACTTTCGATTTATGCAACATTTTATGTGTTCCCATATTCGGCTATTTTTAAGATCAGTAAGAGATACCATCAATGGGAAAGCCAAAACTGCGAAACATCACGAAATTCATTAATCATGAGGTTATACACACACACACACACACACACACACACACACACACACACACACATTGGAGGAGGAGGAAACAGTTTGTCCCTTCTTTCTGCTGTTGTGGATTGGAGGTCCTGGGGTATCCCTGACTTCCTGACTTAGATGGGATGACCATGCCTTCTATGGGGTGGTCCTTGGCCTGGAAGTCCAGCTTTTGGTCACAATTGTCTTATATTTACTCACCCACTGGAGACTAGATACATCACTACTATTTTTTTTTATTATCCTAGTTTCCAGATAATTACTCAGAGCAATATGCTTATGGCTAATTTCTTAGTGTTATTCTCTCCATTTTATCTCTTCTATTAGAATATCAATCACAGGGACGCCTGGGTGGCTCAGCAGTTGAGCATCTATCTTCAGCTCAGGCATGATCCTCGGGTTCCTGTATCCGGTCCCATGTTGGGCTCCCTGCATGGAGCCTGCTTCTCCTTCTGCCTATGTCTCTGCCTCTCTGTGTCTCTCATGAATAAATAAATAAAATTTATTATTTTTAAAATAACCTATTTTTTAAATAACCTTAAAAAATTAAAGGTTTTAAAAAATAGAATATCAATTATTTTCTTTTTGTACCATTTAGTAGTTGCCCTTGAGTTTGCATTTACATAAATAAATAATCTAAGTCCACCTTGAAACAGCACCATATACTGCTGCAGATGTAGTGTCCAGTCTACAGATGAGCCCTTCAAAGGGATTTTTAATTTGTCACATTGTTGTGAATTTCTAGCATTTTCTTTGGATTTTTCTTAGAGTTTCCATCTCTTGACTTACATTGCCCATCTGTTCATTCGTGGTGTCTACTTTTTTCCTTAGAGCCCTCAACATATTAATCAGTTATTTTAAATTCCTTGTTTGATAATTCCAACATTTGTGTCAATATCTGATTCTGGTTCTGATACTCTTCAGATTTTTTTCCTTGTCTTTTAGCAAGCTTTGCCGTTTTTTGTTAGACTCCAGCCATAATGTATCGGGTAACAGAAACTGAGGTAAAAGGCCTTTAGTGTGAGGATTTATGTTAATCTGCCAAGGACTTGGGCTGTGTTTAATGTTTATTGTTACTGTAGGTGCCAGAGGTTTTGGCTTCCTCTAGGGTTTCTGCTTCTGTGTCCTCTACTGTTTTGGCTTCCCTAAGAACTCCTCTTCAGAGTCTGCTCCTTGCTCTTTCCGTTCCTTTAACTGGAACTCAATTATATTTGATTCCTGTTGCTGTGGTGGCAAGGTGTAGGGGAGGGGAAGCATTCTATAATTTTAATGATAAAATCTGTCTTTTGGGCCTGTCCCCGGGGCTGCGACCTTCACAGGGGATTCTTGGCATTATTTTTTTTTACCCCTGGGGTAAAATAGGAAGGATTGAGGGGGCTGGAATTGGGTAAATGCCCTTCTTATGCAGGATAATGCTCTGGTAGTCTTTTCCCTTAGAAAGTAAGTCTTTCTAATGCAGAATGTTTTGGGCATATCTCAAAATGGTTATCTTTCTCTTCCACCTGCCAGAGCCAGCAGGAGGTATTTCTTGACTCTTCATCATAATAAACTGGTGGGGTTCTCTTGGAGTAAAACCTTTGAAAATCTGTAAAATTTCCTATGACTGTGGCCTCCAGGAGTTTTTCATTCTCAAGCTAGCCCACACTCAGCACTCAGTGATTTGTCAAAATTACCATCTGAGTGATTCCTACAGTTGATGGCTCCAGAGGTTTTTACTCTAGGTAAGCAGATCTCAGCTGTGAATCTCTGTCTTCACCCTTCTCTACAGATTTCAGGACAGCAGTTTGTCTTGCAACCTGAATTCTCTGGTGAGTACAAGAAAAGGCATTGATTTTCAGGGTTTTTCTTTTTCTTTCAATTTTGTTTTGTTGTTGTAAAGGAGTGATAACTTCTAAGCTCTTTACACATTGGATCTGAAACCAGAAGTCGAGTGGTATAATCTTGCACAGGTTAACATCTCTGAATCCATTTCTCCCTTTATGACATGGAGATAATAAACCTTTTAGGCTTACTTCATGTCATTATTTACATTAAAATGCTTTATAAATGGTAAAGCACTTTAGTTACACAGAGGCTATTACCAATTAGTTAACATCCCCCACAAATTTGTGGAGTTGTCACCAGGAAATATCTATTAATAATAGCCAGGGATAACATTTCCTAGCTCCCTTGAAATTGTTCTGTGCCAAAGGAATGAAGTTGTGTCCCAATTTCACAACTGGCCCAAAATAATGTCCCCAGTGCTGCTCCAGGCTCTTTACCCTTCTCTTAGAAGCAGAGGGATAAGGCACTGAAATGATGGAACCATATGATGGAAAAATCCCTGCCTACAAGGAACAGACTATTGGGTGTGCAAGAAAATCATTTTACTGTCTTAAGCCACTGAAATCCTGGTGTTTGTTGCAACAGCTAGTGTTTTCCTATCTAATAATAATAAAAAAAAAACCTGATACCTTGATATTGAGGCTACTTACATACATGAACTACTAGTAAGGTGCTGAGTGGCAAAAAAAAAAAATACTGTAGATAGAAGGATTGAGACTCAGGTCCTACTGTAATGCAATATTGAGTGAAACTGTTACCTGTGATAAAGATGACAAAGAGAAAACAGAGACTGTTTTGTTACGAAAATTGAGTGTTTAAGGATTCCAGACAATAGGAAATAAGACTGAAAAAGACCTGAAGGAAAGGCCCATTATGATTTGTTAGGTAAGCAGTGACTCAGCCTTGAGGAAAATGATTATGGACATGATATTCTCATCCAAGTCTTGTTTAAAATGGCTTTCTGATAACTAGTAATTGACAGAAAGATTGACTTGGGGGCAAGGAAGCTAAGACATAATTCCTGCTCCCTACACCTTCCCTGATCTTTCCCTTTACCTGCCACTTTCACCGGGGGAGTAAATTTGCCGCCTAGTTCAGCACTTGCCACGTCTCTCCTCTCTTGTGAGCCTGCTGTTCCTGGTTCAGGCCTGGAACCCCACAGCCCTGGTGCAAAGCTTGGAAAATGTACCTTGAACAACTTAAATTTCATCCCAAAGGTGGCAAGGCTTGCTTCCTCTCAAACAGCCACCATCCTTATTACTGCTTTCTCCTAATCCAGGTTTCTGCTGTTTCCTGCTTCTGGAGATTCCAGCTGAACAGGCCATGCTGGGACTTAGAAGGGGGGAGGCAGGGATTGGCGTCAGGATAGGGTGAGGGGTCCAGTGTGGGGGCTGGGACCCCTCCCTGGTTGGAGGCTTTTCCTCCCATGAACCTGAGCTGGAGCTGGAGAGCCTGCTTGTGGATCTGCAGCATCTCTGTGTACGCTCAGCCACTATGAAAATCAAATTTCATCTTGGCTCTAAACACTTCACTGTGATGGTTTTCAGGGCTTAGACCAATAAAACTAAAACATGTGAGGAGAGAAATCCAATAAGAGAAAGCAATTTAAGATACAAGCCTATTAAGCCAACCTACAATCATTAAACTTTTAAATTTAGGAATTGGCCTCCCTATCTTAAGACAACTTCTGGGAGGCAGAGTGACTACTTGTTCCTTTTAATCCAGGCTTAATGCTACTTCTGAGTTTCCACCTAGACATTTCATGGGGGTTGCCCATCTCTTCCTACCCGGAGGCAAAGGCTGTGCTCCCAGGTGGGTGGTGGCATCACTCTGGCCTGACCCCAGCCCACCCATCCCCACAGAAGCAGTGGGGTGAGAGGTGTGGAGGGGGGCAGTGGAGCAGGCTCTGGCTGATTGGGACTGTTCGGAGAGGGAGGTCCTGGGTCCTCAGTGCTGCCAGGAAGGACACCAAAAAGGAAGCGGCCAGGTTTGCTCCAGATTGCTTCTGTAAGGCTCTGCTGCAGCAGTGTGGGAGAAAACTGCTTCAGGACACAGAGGCATGGACACCTGCCCAGGCCCAGAAGGGAGGCAGTGGGTTCTGGAGGTGGAAGGAAGTCAGATGACCTCAGTGGGGGGTGAGGGGCTGCACAGTTCCAGGGGACTGGCCACGCAGGGTTAGGACCCTGGTCGGTAGGGATGGTTGTGGGAATGTAGGTTTTGGACACACGGTGGAGTGCTCAGGAGATGTGATGGCAGCCTCCGTTTGTTTGGCAAAATGCTAGGAAAATGAACCAAATGCTAGACAAAAATGACCTAAATCTAAATGCCAGAAGTGTGGTGGGGGGGCGGTGGTGCGTAAGGAGGGTAGGGGCTGGCACCCCGGGGCCCAGTGTTTTGTTTCCAAAAGAAAATACCTTTTTAAATTAGGACTAAATCGGGCAGCCCGGGTGGCTCAGCAGTTTAGCGCCACCTTCAGCCCAGGGCATGATCCTGGAGACCGGGGATCAAGTCCCACGTCGGGCTCCCTGCATGGAGCCTGCTTCTCCCTCTGCCTGTGTCTCTGCCTCTCTCTCCCCCCTCTCTGTGTTTCTCATGAATAAATAAATAAAATCTTAAAAAAAAAACAAAAACTAGGACTAACTCTAGGGCCTTAAATTCACATATGTTATTCACGCTATTATGTTTCAAATAGAAAGGAGGTAATCAGCTCAATAGGTATGTAATGATTTTAACAAGACTTTGCTAAAACTTCATAGAAAAATAATTCATATTACATCTTCTGTGTGTCAGCTGAGGATGAAAGGCGACATCGACTGCCCTTCCTCAATGCCAAGAGTCATACTTGAGTCTTGCTTCTCCTCCACAGTCTTGTCACCAGCAGCCATCTAAGCAGGCCTGAGCCACCCATCACTGTTGCCAGGCCTTAAGGACCAGGTGTGGCCACAGAGCACCTTCCCTAGAACTGCAGCACATGTCAGGTTTGGCACATATTTTTTATTTTCTTTTACTTTCACATTTACAAATTCAGGAAGCCATTTGGAGAAAGGGGAGGTTGAGGCTGCCTGGAAGAAAAGCTGGGCTCGTGGGTACTGCACAGAGTCGGGCACTTAGGACTTCTCACAGGGACACCTGGCCTATATCTCAAGAGCCCTCGCTGTCAGGCGACATCTGAAAGAGCAGCTGTGGCCTGCTCCTTCGTGCCTGGAAGATGCCTCGGCCCAGGGTTTTATTGCTGGTGAACTTGATTATCCAACATATAGTCCAGGATGATGGTGTTCTCAGAATCGGGTCCAGTGGTGAGCATGTGGCAGAGATGAATGGAAATTGCCATGTGAACATTGCATTGATTCTGCAGTGCCAGCATGTGGCCCATGGTTGCCTCTGCCGCAGGGGACGGCCCCAGAGACGGGTGTTGTCCCTCCGGATAGGACAAAGAGGTGAACAATAATCAGCGTGGACATGCTCAAACCCACCGCAGTGGGAGTGCGGGAACCCAACCAGCTCTCCCTTCCCCCACGCTACATATCCTGTAAGGCCCCCCACGATGTTCCTTTCCTCAGGTGGAAAGAATGTACACTCCCCTCTTTCCTAAGTTGCATCTCTTGGGCTGAGTGAGACAACTGTTCAGCACGCAGTTCAGAAATACAGACTAGAAGTACCAAGGCATGTATCCTGGAAAGATGGACTGCCAAAAAGTACCCTCAGGTCACCTCTGAGTTTCACAGGAACAAAAGAGTCTTAGAAAGAAAGAATGGTTTGCCTCTGTGATGATAGCAGCGCTAAGATGAAAGCCAGATTTGATCCTGTATTAGCCCCATGTGATTTTTGCAGACCATTAGCTTCTCTATCTCTCCTCAAAGTGCCAGGTGCCATTCTTGCAATCCGTTAGTGACGGGCAGGACCACCCACCCTCTAGGGGAGCTGCCAGTGTGTCTGCCTCTTTAACAACCGAGGGAAATGACTCCTACACCATATAATTTCTCCTCCCAGCCTGTCAGACTGCAGATGTTCAGTCCCTTTCACGTTCTGAAGAGAGTAGAATTCTAATGGCATCAACTTGGGAGGAGACCGAGGGGGGACCTGCCAGGGCCCTCAGTGCACCTGATGTCCAAACTAAGTTGTAACGGTCAGGATCCAGCTTCATTGGCCGAGGCATGCACAGGTCCATGGGAGGCTGCAGAGTCTCCAGAAGGAGTGGAATGGAGGACATGTCATTTCTGTGCTCACATCTCCCATCTGGTTAGCCTCTGGTCTAAAAGGTATTTGAATTCACATTAGTTCTACACATTAGTTTAGCAAAAAATCTGGCTTCTGATACCCAAAGAGCTTAAAGTCCCCTTCAAAACGTGCATACAGGCGCCGGATGTCTCGTTTGCTGATGCCCAGAAAGTAGCGCTCCACCTTGGTTTTATTATAGACGGTAATGCCTGGAGGGATGGTGGGGTAAGACACCAGGTGGTCTATGCCGGCTTCTTTTAAGATATATGGGGCATCGTCCTCCAGGGTCTCATGGTGACCAATTACACTGTACTTTATTTCGCAGGGTGCACACAGTTCAACATACGTCACCCAGTGAATGATGTGGTCCCCAAACTGAAGGTCCAGCCACCTGTGGTTTGGATCGCCCAGGTACCGTACAAAATCTTCAAATTGGATACCCCTGGTCTCTGTACGGTTCCTCCTGTATTTCCTAATGATGCCAGGGGCAATCTCGTGCCTGTACCAAGGCTCAAAGCGGGGATTATGAACAAACTTATCCTTAAACGCAGAAATCAGTCTTTCGAAGGGATCTCTTACGATAAAAAACTTGAAGTATGTTTTCAAGCTAAGGAAAAAAATGAAGATAAACAAGCAGTCAGGCTGATGCTCATTGGTGATAACCAGGGAGAGGTGGGACGACGGAAGAGCATCTGCTGGAGCAGCTGTGGCCACTATGGCTAGAACTCGCCCTCCCATGAGAAGCGAGCTTCGCACATTTCTGAGTCCACCCACCCACCTTCGGAAGAAGACTGTTACCCATTTTACAGTGAGGAAATAGAGACTCAGAACTGTAACTGTCCCAGGCCACGGGACTCTTCATCCTAGAGGGCCACTGTGAAGACATCTACTTATCTCAACAGATACTCAAGTATTTCCAAACTTCAAAGGGGTTTAAAAGTCTTGTTCTTGGGCAGAGAACTGATTTAAGGGCAGGACCCTGAGTGAGGCAGAACAGTGGAGGCCAAAGGAAGTTACTTTAGGAAACCTCTGTATAAGTTCAATTTACAATTGCCAGGGGAAGGCCACCTAGAGCACGGAGTAGGTAAGAGAAAGTGGGGAGCGAGGCTGCTAGCTCCAGGTGGCAGGAAGGTGGCCCGGGGTAGCTGCCAGTAGTGGCGGGGCTGGCGCAGTGGCAGCAGCGTGACGGCCTGGGATGGTGCTGACAGAACAGTGACATCACCACTGCCGTCATCACGGTGCCCACTCCCCGCCAGAGACCAGATCAGGGCCCTGCACACCTGGACTTGTCTTCTATCACAGAAGCCCCTATGAGGTCAGTGCTCAGGCGGGCAGCAGGACGGCCCTGACCCAGGAGGCTCTCTGATCCTGCATCTAACACCTGCGTTCTACAGGTTTTGCACAAACCAGGAAGACTAAATAACCAGCACCAGAAAAAATTAGAATCAAATGGCTAAAAAGCAAGGGAGTCAAAGTTCATTTGGTGCCCTTAACAACATTCTGATTTCTTTTAAGCCTTGTTCTGCAGGGTCATTTCATAGTTACTAAAAAGAAGTTTTCAATTTACTAGCTAAGTAATTTTTTAAATGCCGAGTCTCTGCCCTTGCTGTGATCAGTGAGGTCTGATTCTCTCGGCCTGTGTTAGGTTCAGTCCTCTGGGCAGCTACCATGAAAGTTGGGGTAAGGCCTCTGGAAGAAGGTAAAAAACTATGTGGGGTTCCTCTGTAATCCAAATCCCTTTCCTGTGATCTAAAGGTCATATTCAGTAAGGAGTCCATAAAGCTTAGCAGAACTAAAGGAGAACAAAAAAAATTACTCGTTTCTATTAAGAAAATTGTGTAACCTTTGTTTTAATGGACTGCATAAAGGTAAGGGTGGAGGAGATGTCTTGAAATTCTCATGAAGGAATTTTTTTTTCATGAAGGAATTTAAATGCACTGAACCCTGGGTGTATGCTTGGCTGCCTCTCACGGATGTAAACCAAAAGCCCCCAGTAGTCCTTGGAACAATCTGAAGTGCATGGCAAGGGCAGAACTAAGCCTCCGGTTTTACCAAAATCCCCCTCCCCTTAGGAACTACTCCTACCGCTTCTGAATTTCCGCATCGCTGAAGGAAGAGAGACGAGGGAGGCCATTCTTCTCATGGTCATGAACCACATTTTCGGGGATCTCTTCAATGGAAGGAAAAGCCCCTGGGAAGGAAACAAGGAAGGACAGGTTGGCTGCCTCAGTGCTACCCTTCAAGGAAGATGCCTGGTCTCTTAACCTGGGCCCCAAGTTCCCCACAAGCCCATCCACCGAAATCCCAGTTTAGGTATTTGAATTCCAGCTGCTTCTGCCAGCAGGATGAGAGAATGAAGAAAAGCTTCTGGTAATCCATAAGCCAACTAGAGGAAACAGACAAGTCGGGGTGGGTGGGGGAACAGGGGAAGAAACACTGCCAATCCCTACTCCTGGCAATGCACCTAAATTAGGTGAAATCTGACATTTAAAAAAGCTCCCTGCATGCAGAAAGAATTCCTAAAACGAGCCATGCTCCTTCTACTCTGAAATTGGGAGGAAATGCCAGGGGAGCAGGACTATGAAACATACTGCTGGCTGATGCCCCATCAGGGGCCCATCACTCCCAACAGGCTTGTCCCTCCCAGCTCCACATCCCTAAGCCTGCGGTGGTTCCTAGGTAACCTCACCACATCCCAGACTGGCGAGTGGCAAAGCTGATTGGTGCTGGGAAAACCTGGCCAATGCTGTGGGAGCAGGGTGATATATCTGAAGCAGGGGACAAGGAGGACAAATGTGTCTAAGAAGGCAGGGCAGGAGCAAAGCCACAGTGCCCAGGATGGGGTTGCTGAATGGAGGCTTGAGTGCACCCCACCCTCAGGTTGGTGGACTGGGCAGGTTTTTCCTTCTCTTCTCAACTTAAGACAAATAGAAACAAAGCATCATTACCCACAAAGGTTCTAGCCAGGCCTCTGCGAACCTTCCCATCCATCGTTATATTAATCCTGTCTTGTTGGAGTCTGGCAAAGGAGGATCTCTGTTGGGCCACCTTATACAAGGGCCACTGCCTTGTTTTTTTGTTTTTTGTTTTTTTTTTGCCTTGTTTGATTTATCCCTTCCCCAAGTATGTAAGCACCAGTCCAGAACTCTGTACTAAGTGCTATGGATGGCCATGAAATGAGCAAGATGAGCAACTGCTCTGAAGATAATGAAAGAACCAGCTCTGAAGATTTATACCTGGATGTGCTCAAGTACCTGTCCTGGTGCAGGTGTCTCTAGGGACGACTGGAGACAGCCACAAGGACCATCCTCTATTTATGGCCTGGCAAACCTACCCCCATTTTTATTCTGCACTTGCAAATTGGTGCTTGCTTATTTAAAGTGTGATGCTTTATATTGTGGCGGCAGACTTATAAAACTTTTGTGTATTTATTGTTTTAAATTTGATTTGTAACCTCATTCTTTGATGTCAAAAATCCAACGTACTGTCAGAGTTCTCAAGAAACACATTAATTATATACTATAAGATGAGGCAAGTGTCTCACTTTTCTCCCCCAAACAACCACAGAAAGGTCAAATGAAGCAACCATGAGAAGGCCGATTGACCACCAACTCTAAGAACAGCAGCAAGAGTGGTAGGCTGGAGGAGAGGCCACAGGGCCACCTCTCACGGCTGATTCCTGGTCCTGGAGTCATAGTGCTGTCAACTGGAATTACGCTCTTTTTGAAGCTGGATTTAACAGACAGAGCCCATAATTATCTTGGACCAATTCAGGGTAATTGGAGTTTAAACAAACAAACATGGTATCTGAAAAGAGCAGTGAGTAATCAAAACCTGTAGTGTATGAGGTCACTTTCCAATGACCTAATTTGTTCCTAAATAAACATGATTTCCTGAAGCAAGTGGATTCAATCCTCTGAACATGGAGGCTCTGTACAAAATGGGACGCCTTCTTTCTTAGCCAAGTGGCACAAAATACTTCATCTGTGGGTGAAGGGGCCCCCACACCCACCCACCTGACAGGGCTCTCCTCCCAGGCCTGGGTACAGGCCCTTCTACTGCAGAGGAGCAGCTGGGAGGGCACTGAGTGTGAGCCTTGACTTACCTCCATAGAGCTAGCAACTGCTAAGAGGCAAAGCAATGCCTCTGAAGAGAAGAAAAGAGATCAGCCCAGGGTGGTGGGGGACAGGCTGTCTGAGACAGGGATTCCGCTCTGGAAAGTGAGGAGAGATCCTGACCACTGGGGGCGGGGTGGGGTGGGGGCGGCAGCTTGAAAACCTCAATATTTAAAACTTTAAACCACCAGCTTTTAAAGTGCAACACCCAGGGTGACTGGGTGACAGGCACTAAGGAGGGCACTTGATGGGATGAGCACTGGGTGTTATACTGTATGTTGACTAACTGAATTTAAATAAAATATTAAATAATAATAATAATAATAAAGTATAATACCCACAGGGAAAACACAACGGAGAACCGTCTCTAAGGTTACCAGCCCTTCCAAGTCGACAGTCCCTGCCTGTGGCTCCTTTGTGCTGTCCCCCTCAGCTTCCCCTGCTCAGGCCACAGGGCGCCCCCAGGCTAACCCTGCGCCCGACCATAGACCACAGGTGGCCACCAGGCACTGCACGCACCATTTAACACGATCAACACTTTCTTCCACTGGGTGTTGCCCACTTTAGGAGTCTGGCAGAAAAGAATCCTGTGCTTGTCACACACAAATATCCGGTCCAGAACAAACTTGGAGATGGCGGTGTGTGAGAGGTTCTTCAGGGCTTCATCCTTGCAGACGTTTCTGATGAGCTCCAGGCGTTCCATATAGACCAGGGGCTGAACCAGCCCTTTCCCAGTCGGCTGCAAGTCACAAGGAGGCAAAAGGGGCATAAGAGCTTCTTGAACAGGAAACAGGGGAGCACACCCCCACCACAGGGCCCACCCAAGGTGCCCTAACCCCTGACCTCATGCAGCACATTAGCAGGTAGAGCGCAACAACCAGAGCCACCTTAGCAAGAGCAGGACTCTGCAGGCATGATTCACCTCCAGGGGCCTGGAATTCAGGCTGCATGGATGTGCTGGACCAAAGCTCGGTCAGAGACCTGAGGGTGTTTCTTCACCCTCAGCTTGAACAGATTTGGGAGGAGGCGGCGGGTGGGCTGTCTGCCTGTCACTCTGCTGATGGTGGGCACTATGGCCCACAACATCTCGGACATAGCAGGATACTCTGCATTTGAACATTTTAGTGCCTCCTTCCTTCTCCCTAGCATTTCCCTCCACCTAATTCTGTGTACGTAGATGGATGGTAGAGAAGGGCCAGTCATCTACACACGTGCGGATTGTTTCATAGATGCTCTGGTATTACTGGTATTATTGGTGTAATGGTTTACTAATTTAAAAAAACCTACTTTAGGTCATTCAGTATGGGTTTTAAAAATGCAAGAGCCATTACTCCATCTCCTCCATGACAAGCATGGGGCCAAGCTTCTCTGTAAGGCAGTTTAAGGAGAGGGGAATGGGGTCTGTATAGCAGTGGTGTCAGTCTTCCTGGAAGCGTGGCCACTGTGGGCAATGCTGGGGGCACTGGTCTGCTGAGTCCTCCCAACAAGTGAGAAAACCCATGTGAATGTGGGGCAAAGGCTCTGATCCAGAAACCCCCACCTGCCAGGAAAGTGGGTCTGGAAGCAAGCAGAAGTGGGCATGTGGGCTGCCCTGGATGACCCAGGATCACGGGAACCACTTGGGGCATGGCCTCCGGCTGGGTTTCTGAGGTTGGGGTGCAAGCTGCACAAGGGTATTGTTGCTGCTTTTATTCTGTGATGTCTCAAGCGTTTTTGATCACCTCTGAGTTATCTGGAATAGATCTCTCAATAGTTTTTCCTCTCAAAAGCAGTACAATTTCCAGTCTGTGTGTATCTAGGACACAGGACAGTTCCTCTGTAGACTTCACATATGGAATACTACTTCAGTGTGAATACTGAGTCATCATTCTCCCTACAAAGTCTCAGGCTGGCACTGAACACCGGAGAGAAGTCTGTGGCCCACCCTTCCCACCCCTGCCTCAACTGCCACTCTTTGTAAGCAACCCATTTTTAATACCCAGGTGCTTGTAGGATTTTTTTCTGTAATGTTCCACCACATGAAAAAAATTCATAAAGATAGATCAGTGTAGGTTTCTCCTCTGATTTGCCTCAAAGGCAGGGAGCCCTTTCTACCTGCATTCTTGGTTCAGAAAATGTCTTTTTTCCTCAGGATACTTAGGCAGGGGTGGAGCTCATGTGCGACAGTGGGTGAAAGTTATCTTAGATTAGGAGGCCTATGTGAGGAGGTGGGCAGGGTTTCTGGATCAGAGTCTTCACCCCCCAGCTCACATGGATTTTCCCACCAGGTGGGAGAGACTCCTTAGAACAGAAACCATTGCCACTGTGCTCCAGCATTTCTTCACAATGGCTACCATTGCTGTAAGACTGACACCCCTACCAAACAGAACCCATCCCCTCTGCTTACAGGTAGTTTAAGAGGCATAACTCTGTGCTTATCACTCAAGGGATGGAGTCTTATATCATTACACCTCAATGAATGTCTTTTAAAAAAGAAACATACAAAAGTGTTGACAGTGGTTAAAGAAAATTATGGATTGTGATGGCTATAGCTGAGGTCTTTTTCCTTCTAAGGCTGGATATTTTAAAAAAATATACAAAGAGTTTATCTCCTTCATAAAAAACTTGATTTAGAAATATTGGCTGGTGGCGGAGAGCACCTATAAACACTTCTAGAAAGTTCTAGAAAACTGTTCCAAGTTGTCTGTGAATGGCATCTGGGTACTTTCTATATTAAAAGGTGGCTCTGTAAAAACAGCACATTTTTGTCTCTCTTCCTTCAGCACAATCATCACTAACTAAAAGCCACAACTCTGCAGAGCCCCCTCTGAATTTCCTTCCAGGGCTCACCTGTCCCTTTCTTACCAGCCATGGGCCCCTTCTCATCTTTCCTTCCTCCCTTTTTCTACAGCAACAGCCAATATTTCCAGCCACTTCCTGAAGTGGCCTCAGGGCCCTTCCACTGCCCAATAAATCAGAGATGAGTCAGTATGGTTGGCAAGGAAAGTGGACACAAAATGGGTTCATTTGGCTTTTCCTCTCAAGAGAAAGTTGACTTAAAAAACAAAAAGAGATGAAAAAGCTCAAATTCCAAATTATGACACATACTCTTTGGGACAGCTTTAGAACCTAACAGGATATCTGTAACAGAAAAGGGCTTTTGTTAACACTTGATTCAAAATCTATTGCTCTGTTACTCGGCAGAGTGAACCATTTGGCAAATATTTATCAAGTCTTTACTCTGTGCTTGGATGCAGTTACAGGTGTTCTGTGGAGACACTGGGAAAACCTCAGCTGAGTAACAACGTGTGTGGCAGTTCAGTGACACCCTGTCCTCAGTGACTTATTAATCCCTCCCTGTTCACATCATGGTGGAATGTCTGCCCACAGAGACCTCCTGGCTTTCCAAGAAGCATCCCATAAGGCAGGTCTGAATAAAGAGTCTGTTCCTCTAACCCCACTCCTTTGGCTACCCCTACTTGTGGCCCTTTCCCTCAGCATTTTGAAATTTCTGTTGCTGTTTATTGTCTATTCATTCCCTTTAAGTTACCCAGAACTTCTTCCCAAAAGTTCAAACCAGATGGTCCCCTAAATTAACTTTACTGAATGGACCAAAATGCCCTTTTATCTGTTAAAATGCACCAAGATTTTCAGGCAATCCTTTTAATGGGCAGTTGTAAAACCAGTCCTCCCCTAAGGACTGTGTCAGTTACAAAATGGGGGAGAAGGACACAGCCTTCCAGAACACAAGAGAACAAGGACACTGGAAATATTGGGATGATAAATGTTTCCACCCCACCACTCCAGCTCCCTGCTCTTACCTCATGAATCTGCCATAACCAAACTCCCTGACATACCTTCTCAAGTGTTTGACTGAATTTCCTGGGTTTCCCTGGTGAAGGGAAGTGTTTTGGGAATTCCTAACAGCTACTTTCTCAGGTCAAGACATTCTGGAAATGAGAGTGGGTACTTGTAGCCTTACCCAGGTCTGATCCTTTGCAGAGATATCCCTTCCTCCCCAGAAAGCACGAGCATGAGTCTGCCACTCTGGCTCTTGCCTTCTTGCTTCCATAAATGGAGTCTAATTTAATCTCATTCCCTCACTCACCCCAACTCTTGCTCACTTATTGATATGGTCTTTCTCTCTTTTCTCTCACTCTATTCCAACCTGGATCACGGATGACACTCCAGAGCAGTGCATCACAGGGCAGAACCGACCCCCAAACAAGTTCCCTTGAGAAACTGCAGAAAAATCTCCTTCATTTTTAAATTTGCTTTTCCTCAAGCTTAAGCATTATATGTAAAGAAAAACAATTTCTCATTCAATTGTGCTTATGGACTGGCATGGTTTTCTGTTTTCTTCCTTTGCAAATATACTAAACCAATTTCAATGATTAACACTGTTTTCCATTCAAATGTTCAGCTATATTATGTACAAAATAAACTTTCTTTTGCAGTTTTTAAAAACTGAAGTGTAAATGAAATACATTATATTAGTTTCAGGTGTATGACATATTGATTCAACAGCTACACAAGATCAACTTTTAAAGATAAGCTACACAACCTGATCACTTTTATAAATCACCTTTCTTTTGGGAGGACAGACACTGAGTTTAATATCTAATGACTCCAGGTCTCAGAGAATCGTGTCTGACCAGCTGATTCCCACTCCCTTTACCTTGCATTTGAGTTTCATGAGCGTCAAGGGGACAGGGTAGCAAGAACGGGAAACAGGACATGTAGTTTGAAGTCCCAGCCCACTACTTGCTGCCTCTGACACACAGGCTCTGTTCCTGAAGGCTCACACTTTCCAAATGCAAAATGAGAATAAAAATACTTAAAGCTCAGAGGGCTGTTTTTGTAAGACTAAAACCCAGTAAGTCTTCTGTGGACTGCAAGGCATGTTCTGCTGCTGTATTTCCAACCACGATTACTCCCCCACAGGGCCTACAGTCTAGTCTGTGGGAAGGGTGCTCCTCCTTCCCTCAAGAGCACCTCCTGGGATGGTCACTTTTGTTCTTCATGAGCTACTGCATTGTAGCTGCACCCTTGTCTCAGAGCACTGTGTTCCTCTTGTGAAACTCTTACCCCAACTCTGTGTCATTACTGATCTCAACACCTAAACGTTTATTTCCCTTCCTCTTCCCACCCTCCTACTTCCTACAGATTTTTCTGGTTTCCTCTGTGGTCCATCCACTCTCTTCCCTTGTCCTGGAATGCCTCGACCCAAAAGCAACATTCCAGGCATGTTTCAGGGAGTTCTGCAGACTTAACCAATCAATCAGTGTTCTGCATCTTGTAACTTGATCCAACAGCACTTCCCTCTGACCAGGTGCACACTTTCTAGACTTTGTTGCGCTCTAATTTGTGCAGTGCAAATCAAGGACAAGAACATCTCCTTCTCTGCAGCTTAATGCTGGGCTGATAAATGTCTTAGAGTTTGGTCTACCAATTTCATTCCTTTAGACATACCTGCAACCCAAACTTTCCAGACCCAGAATAGAGGTTAGCTAGTGAGAGGGGAATCTCAAGAGTGTGCCCCCTCCTCATCTTGGCTGGGGATTAATTAGGAATTTTTGTATAAAAGGAGCCTGAGGAGAAACACTTGGAGTCAGAATATGCAGGAAGGCGAGCACCAGGTAAGTCAGCAGCCTTGGGCTGTCCCACCAACTCCCATAAGATTTGGGATGATTAGCCTTTTCTCTAAATTGTTCTCTCACCCATACCATTCAAAGGTGAGATTAGCTGCTCTTCTATCCAAGAACCCTTCTAAACTTAAAAATTCCATGATTCTAGGTCAGAGACTTTCCCCCACTCCCTTGGTTTTCTCCTGATCTAGCTCAACATCCTCCATTCCCCTGGCAAGGCTCCTTCTAAGCTGGTCAGGAACACAACACAATCAACATTTACAGAGGATCCATGATGTACAAAGCACTGTGAAGAACCTAAAAACAGATGTGACTGTGCCACCTCCAAAGAGAAACTAAAAGATGAGTGGAAATGTGCAGAAGTAACAAAAGCCACAACTCTAGAGCAGAATGTGATGAGACAGTGAGAGGAAGCCAGCTGATGTGAGTACAGATAGAGGGGAGGCTAGTCCCATGTGATGGGGATCCTCACGGAGGCCAGAGAGGGTGAGAACAAGACACCACAGCTAAATGAGGAAGAGGCAGCCCTGCCCCTCCGCTGAGGGCCTCAGAGGGGATAGTACCCTCCACCTTGCTGTGCTTACCTTCAGTTCCTCAGGAAAGTGTTTCTCTCCAGGCAGCTTCCCTGCATCTGGCACGGCTGTCAGCAACAGGAACTCCTGTTTGGCGCCATATGCTAGGAGACAAAGAGGTTAAGGTGTCTTCTCATGGAAGAACAGAACAGATACACAGATCAGCAGGACAGAACAGAGGCCCCAGAAATAGCCCCACAAAAATATGCCCAACTGACATTTGATAAAGGTGCAAAATCAGTTCAGTGGAAGAGAGTCCTTTCAAAAATGGTGGTCTGACAACTAGACCTCTACACACCAAAAAAAAAAAAAAAAAAAAAGGAAAAAAAGAAAGAAAGAGAACATTTACCTGAATCTCATACTTTATTCAAGAACAAACTCAAAATGGATCAGCACTTAAATGTAATAAAACTGAGCCACCACTGCGTGGCTCAGCGGTTGAGCATCTGCCTTTGGCTCAGGGCATGATCCTGGGGTCCTGGGATCGAGTCCCACACAGGGCTCCTTGCAGGGAGCCTGCGTCTCCCTCTGCCTATGTCTCTGCTTCTCTCTCTCTCTCTCTCTCTCTGTGTGTGTGTGTGTGTGTGTCTCATGAATAAGTAAATAAAATCTTAAAAAAAACTTTAAAAATATTGGAGAAAATCTTTGGAAAAATTGATAAGCTGACTCTCATCAAAATTTAAAGCTTTTACTCTGCAAAAGTCCCTATAAAGAGGATGGAAAGACAAGCCACTTGCTGGGGGAAATTATCTGCAAATCAATATCTGGCAAAGAACTAGTATCTAGAATATGTAAAGAAATTTCAAAACTCTACAGAAAAGAAAAAATCAATCCAATTAGAAAACAGGTAAGACACAAACTGACATTTTACCAAAGAGGATCTACAGATGGCAAATAATCACAAGAAAAGATACTCAACATCATTAGCAATCAGGCAAATAAATACAAATGAAAACCACAATGAGATACCACTACACATCTATCAAAATGGCTAAAAGGAAGTAAGGTGAAAACTCCCAAATGCTAAAGAGGGTGCAGAAAAACTGAAGAACCTACACGGCTGTGGGAATGTAAAACAGCTTGGAAGTTTCCTTAAAAACTAGGCATTTAACTACCATATGACCTATTAATTGCATTCCTGAGAATTTATCCCAGAGAAATGAAAATTTATATCCATACAAAAACCTAAACACAAATGTTTATAGCAACTTCATTGCTATATTGTAGTAGCCCCAAACTGGAAGAAAACCTAGATGTCCTTCAACAAGTGAATGGATAAACAACAGTGATACATCCATACTATGGAATACTACCCAGCAATAAAAAGGAACAAAGTATTGATACACAAAATAATAGCTGGATGACTATCCAGGAAATTATGTTGAATAAACAAAGCCAAGGCCAAAAGGTCATACACTGTCTATAACATTCTTTAAAAAAAATTACAGAGAGAGAAATAGATTAGTGGTTTCCAAGAAGGGGGTAGAGGCCAGGGGAGGGAGATAAGGAGAGGCAGTTAGGTATGGCTATAAAAGGGCAACCCAGGGTTCCCTGTGGTGATGGAGATGTTCTGCATCTTGACTATCAATGTCAATATTGTGATCGCAACTCTGCACTGTAGTTCTAGAACATGTTACTATTGGGGTAAACTGAGTAAATGGTACATAGAACTCTGCGTTCTTATAACTACATATGACTCTACAGCGATCTCAAAATTAATGGTGTAATTTAAAAAAACCCAAGTTAGGGTGCCTGGGTGGCTTAGTCAGTTAAGCGCCTGACTCTTGGTTTCAGCTCAGGTTATGATCTCAGACTCGTGAGATCTCAGAGCCATATCAGGCTCTGCACTCAGCATGGAGTCTGCTTGAGAGTCTCCTCTCCTGCTCCTCCCCCACTCTTCTCTTTCTCTGAAATAATAAAATCTAAAAAACAAAAATCCAAGTTAGCAGTCAAGTTAGTATTTATACATAAGTTTAAAAATTCATGGATAGTGAGATGACATGAGACAAATCTTACAAAATGCTAGACCAGAGTAATAATTAAAAAAAAAAAAAAACTGCTTTGGGAAAATCCTTTGGGTAGAATTTGAAGATAATTTTCAAATTGCTACAATCAAAGAAACATTTACTTTCAAAATTCTCCAAAGCCTAAAAACATAATTAGAAAAAAGGTAACAAAAAAACCATAAAATCAGCGTAACAAAGCATAAACAAAGGCACATTTTTTTCATTTAAAAAACAATCAAAACCTCATCTTGGGTCATTAATAGCCACACCACACACACCGGACTGGAGCCCCCTACCTGCCCCAAGGCTGGCTGTTACACCTCCCCCCAGGCCCTAGCCAGCCCTGCTATTAGTATGCACCATGGCCTGCTATCCACCCTACTCAGGGAGGGTAAAACATCTTACCGGTACCTGACAATAATAATAATCCCATCTCCCCATCTGTTACACATCTTTGAGTTCTCTGCCTCCAAAATAAACCTCTTTGTCACACACCTTTAGGAATGCCACTAAAGTCTTTTTCCTAGCCTACGTGGGATTTAAAATGCCATCCTAACCAAAGCTGTACACAGAAGCTCTTCTGTACTTGCAACAAGGTCAAAGAACCCAGGCATCCCTGGGTAGCTCGGTGGTTTGGCGCCTGCCTCCGGCCCAGGGCATGATCCTGAAGACCCGGGATCGAGTTCCGCATCGGGCTCCCTGCATGGAGCCTGTTTCTCCCTCTGCCTGTGTCTCTGCCTCTCTCTGTGTCTCTCATGAATGAATAAAATAAAATCTTTAAGGAAAAAAAAGGTCAAGAGCCCTTTCTATGGTATGAAATGGACAGAGTATCGGCGCCATTAGCCCCCAGAGTTCCTGAATGAACTCCGAGGACCCCAAAAGACCACCCTCTATTCATCCTCCTCCGCTGCAACCTTGTCATCATTGAGCACTCACATGCTAACAAGACAATTCACACTCGATGCCTGTCTGGTCACTTTGTGTTCTGATGGCATCTTCAAAGACTAGCATTGCAATGCTTAGCTCTGTCACAGGTTGAGTGGGTTTTGCAGAATCCTAAGTTTCCTTAATAACATTTTAGATGGGACAATGCATCCTGAATTCTAAACAGGTGACTTGTCAATGAATTTCTGAAGCAACCTGTTTCCCATACTCAGAAGCAGAGAGAACAGGCTTTGGCAGCTGTGGAACATCTCATCTCTCAGCCAGTCATTATATTTGGCTCAGATGGTCTCGTTCCCCATCCTGACCCTCAGGAGCAAGCTTCCAGCTCCAGGATCAAGCATTCTGAGCCTCTAGGTATGGCCAGGTGCCCCCAGTGTATCAGATAACTTTTGTTACAGGCATCACTATATTTGCAATGCTTTATAAGATGTCTACATTTGCCAAGCAATGTACCACCTTGTTCTTCTAGAAGTGATCACATCCACGAATCTCCCTCATCGTGCTGTCACCAGCCCCTCAGTGTCTGTCACCTGCCCCATCACATGCTAGGCAGTAGAAAGGCAAAGATACTCAAAGCATGGGCTCCGTCCTTAAGCAGCTGACAGCCAAGCTGAGAGGCTGAGTAGAGGCGAAAGATTGGAAGAGGAAGTCAAAGTGAGCTGAGAAGAAAAATCAGTGTCTACACATACACACCAGATTCACAAGGATGTCGTTTTTGATTTCAAGTGTCACCATACCATGCCATCAAATTTCCCAACACTGAATGGGCTTTATGTCCCTGTGACAGAGTCTACTTATAACATCTGAGCCTAGTTCCATATGACACTGAAGTTTGTTAACTAAGGATCAATCATTGCTACAAATATCTTTATGGCTTCACTGCTGAGCTGAAGACAGACCATAACACAACTTTTTAAACAGTACTTCAAGGTAAATCTGCTCTTCCTATCAGCTTAAGTGGCAGGGAAATCATTAAGAACAGGTAGGTCAGAAGAAAACACACATGCCCGGTGACAGATTGGAACAGAGCTCTGTGTCCCAGAGGTCACAGCCAGAAGGAGCAGCCACACAGACATTGAAGTTACATCAGGCCCCTTGAATGATGAGACCACGGATCTCCCATCTGCTTTACAGGAAATGGAACCTCATCATATAGGAGACCACTGTGTTGTCAATTATTTCTTTGTGATGATACTACACATTGGGCTTTTGGTTTAAAACCAAAACACTGTGAACATGAGTGAAACAAACTCCAGCATGAGAAAAATCTCTTCCAGTCACATGTTAACAAACCTCTTTCAGTTCCCTGTACAGAGCGCTAAGACTCAGCAGGGGGGCTTAAGTGCCTCCCCTAGACAAAGGGGGCCCCCTAAGGCTAAGTGACTAAGCCCACCAAACCACAGCTGTAAAGGGGGCAGGAGATACCCTCTCTGATGGCCTCCTCAGAAACTGCATGTTTACCTTCTCATGGGTGTCCATCCCTGCTCAATCACCCAGGCTAGCAAGACACCCTGCAGGCAAGCTCACTTCCTTCCTTTAGAACTCAGCCCATCTTCGTGATCCCAACCAGGTACTTAGGGACAATTAGAGAAGTTTCTGTGTGCTCAAAAAGGCTAGGTTGTGTTTTGGCCTTGACAACAAAGGGTTCTCACCCCAAGTTACCTGCATGCTGTGGGGCTTACCGGTGACCCACCCTGCTTCCCAGAGGTGGGAGAAGGGCAGTGGGGCCAAGCGTGCACCGGATCTAAGGTTCCAACCAGAAGTAGTCCACACCACTGCATTCCCATTCACTAAACACAGCAATCACACTGAACATCCACTAGTGTGAGAAACATTTGGTGAGCAGCACCTAAAGCTACCATAGATCTTTCCTCCAGGTTTAAAATCCTAAAGCTTCTCATCCTTCCTTGCGGGTTTCTCCTTCTATCCCTTTAACTGTTTGCTCCACACTTTACAAAGCCCTCTAGAGCTTCTACATTTTCCTGAAAAAACTCACCACATCCTAGCTTATCAGATACTACTGAGGAATGTAAAGTTCTTTAGAGGCTATTCTGCCAAAGAATATTATAACTCAAAGGCACACACCTCACTTAATTATTTTTGGTGGAAGTCTCATAAAATATATTCCCTATACTCCTAGTTTTTGAAACAAAATAAATAATAAACAATTTAACCTCATGACTTGCCATTGAAGTGCCTTCCTTACCATGAGGTGACATTTAAGGGAACCATTAAAATGTGTGGACTTGCTGTACCAACAAATTCATATTCTCAGCAGCTGCAGCTCTTTCTACATTTGCGGGTCTCCAGAGTTGCACTCCTAGAGATTCTAACTCATTTGGTCTCTGGTTGGGCTAACAGGGAAAGGTTTACAAAGTCCTGCAGATAGTTCTAAAGTACCATGGGGATGAGACCCAGTGCTCTCTTAATGAGGGATCTCCATCACAGGTAAGTGTAACTGTTCTGGGGCAGCTAGAGAAACATCTAAATGGTCAAGCTGAGATGACTGTCTCAGATTCCAAAGACTCCCTAAAGTTTCAATGTCTGCTGCTCTGACAGAGGCCCTGGTCCATGGTGTGAGCCCTGAGTATCTGTGATTATCCATCGTGCGCTGTGATGCTCCTGGCCACCCCATATACCTGCAGTTAACACAGCCTTCCTAAGGCTGTGAAAACCTCCCAGGTTCTCACAAGGGCTCCTGGAAGGTGGGGGTGGTACCTGAAATGACAATCTATCAGGCCTGAGCACAAAGGAGCTAGCTGAGTTACTGAGTGGAAAGCACGGAGCTGAGAATCACCTCTTGGGGCTAATTTCAGGGACTCCCTCTTTGGTCTACACATCTGCCTTCCAGCCTCACTGTTCCTCTATAGACAGGCTGAGAGACGGAGGGAAGAGGGAAAAGAGAGGATGAGTAGGAGCAGGAGGGTTGCCCGTTGAGAAGCCCTCAGCCCAGCAGGGGGCTCTCTGGGCTGGAGCAGAATGGTAGTCTGCTGGCCACTTAGAAGGCACATTTCCTGCAGCTGCAGTAAGTGGGGGAAACTGCTGGAATGAATGGATACTCTCCTGATCTCCCCCTTCCTAAGGGCCACCGACCTGCAGGCGCATGTGTGAAGGCTTGTACACAGTGAAGATGCCGTGCACACCCATGTTCACAAGCACCCTCTTTATTAAGCAGACATAGGCCAATCTGAAGCTGCTCATGAGCCTTTTCAGTATCTCCCGTTTGCCTTGTCTCACTTTGCCATGGAAGGAGTCGCCTTGGGGTTCCAGACCATCAGTGCACCTCCTTACGTACCCAGCATCCTCACAGATCAGAGAGCTTCACTGTACTCAGGTCAATCTTGGAGCTGTCAGACATGTCCATTTTGTAGAAAAAACCCACTAATGCCTCAGTAAGCAAAGGTCAAGGGCATAACTTAAAATAAGTTCTTCTGAATCTGGGTTTGGTGTTCTTTACATGTCTTCATCTGAACACCTACATCAAGTCAAGAAGAGCTAAAAAGTCCTCAAAGACTACTGGACAGAGTATTTAAATCACCTCCCCTCCAGTGAACTGAAGGTGACTTTCAAACGCATGGCCACCAGCACACAGTGCCAGCTAGAACACAGGGATGCTGGTCAATCACGGCAGCATCTCTGGATGACACAGAGTAGGAGACCTACCAAGCCTAGGGCCCAGAAGATAACCTGGCAATGGTATTGCTGGGAAGAGGCCACCAAAGGAGCCCCCATAGAACGTGAGCTCCACTTGCCCCCCAGGGGAGATGCAGAGAAGACACCTTTGTCCCTTTCCACCTCCTCTTGTGCACCTCTGTAACATGAAGGAATTGGACGCCATGACCTCCAAGGTCACTTCTGGCATTAATGTTCCTCTGATTCTGTGACAAAGGTCATCTATGTATGTACCCAGGAACAATACCACAGCATTATCTGGATTAACTGAAATCCATCCCATGAGGAAGCATACCTACCATCGGGGTCTTTAAAGGTCAATGTGATAAATTTGCTAGCCACCATGAACATGAAAATCACCCAAAAGCATGCGGCCAACAGAAGCCACTGGTGGTGCATGTTGTCAAATGTCAGCCATTCAGTAATTCTTCCTGGAAAACAAAAGGGAAATGCCCTTAAACAAAAGGTAATAAAAAGAACAGGTGATTTTAGTTAATAGCATCAATGCAAATATTTGAAAAAATTTTTCTATTGACACAGAATTTTGACTTAGTATTTAAATTTTATTAATAATATGAAGTTATCAATCTGATAATTCAAACAAATTTAAAACACTCTAATGGAAAGGAGCCATTTCTGTCTGTTTTTGGAATACATGGTAAGATTTGGCTTTTGCAGATTTGCCTTGTAACTCCCTTCTGGCCCAACCTAACATCAAAACCAGTTGCTGGTACCCAGCAATAGCCTGCATCTGGAAGCAGGTGGGCAGAAGGAAGTCTACCAAGGGTCAGACCTTTGCTGTGGTAATTTGTGGAGGGCAGAAGCCATACTGAGGCAATTACAAGCAGGCCTTGGGTAAAATCTTGACATGCTGACAAGATAGATGTAGCCACACCTACAGAATCTCTAAAATGGTAAAAATGAACACTGGAGCTTTTCTGTCTCCATTCACTTGCCTGTGAGAGTCTGTGCAGAACCTTGGGGGTGGGTGTTTTTCATGCTGTCACTGCCCGAGAGTAACACAGGGCATGTCAATCCTCAACAGGTCATGCTGCAAGGGACACATAAAAAGCGAGGAAGTCACAGTCAATTCTTGGCAAGAGAGAGAAAACAAAAAGTGTGTTTCATTTCACCTTTAACACAGTGCTTCTTCAAGCCAAACCAAACCACTTAAAGAGACCCTGCTGGGCTGGGTTGGTTTCCACTAGCTGACTGAGGCCATCCATCACTCCTGGGCAGCAGGGAGAAATGGTCCTCTCAACAAGGTGCTGATGACTTATGATTTCAGACAGCTTCTGAACACTGGATGGGACAGAGCTCAGCGGGGACCCAGGTAATCAACTCTCCACTTTGTCTCAACAACATTTACTTCCTAGAATCTCAATGGAACCAGACATCTGAAACCTGAATTCCCTCCACCAAGTGATTATCCAGCCTATACCTGAATACATCCTGCAATGGGGAGCTTACCACCTTACTTTACTGCCGGCTTGAGAGCCAAACTCGGTCTTTCTCACACATCAGACCCAGTGTGTTTCCTGGGGTCAAACAAGGTTGCCAGATTAAATAAAATAAAAATGTAGGACATGGGATCCCTGGGTGGCGCAGCGGTTTGGCGCCTGCCTTTGGCCCAGGGCGCGATCCTGGAGACCCGGGATCGAATCCCACATCGGGCTCCCGGTGCATGGAGCCTGCTTCTCCGCCTCTCCCTCTCTCTCTGTGACTATCATAAATAAATAAAAATTTAAAAAAAAGTAGGACACTCAGTTGTAACTGAATTTCAGATAAACAATACAGTAGTGTCCCCTAATCCACCAGGGATACTTTCTAAGACCTCCAGTGAATGCCCCAAACTGCAGAGAGTACTGAACCCTATATATTTTGGGGTTTTTGGTATACATACAACCCTATGAGAAAGTTTAATTTACAAATTAGGCACAGTAAGAGATTAACAATGATAACTAATAATAAAAGAGAAAAATTATAACAATATGCCGTAACAAAAGTTATGTGAATGTGCCCTCTCCCTCTCAAAAGATCTTACTGTGCTGTACTTACCCTCCCTGTGATGATATGAGATGGTAAGCTGCCTATGAGATGAGATACAGTGAGGGGAATGACACAGTCACAGAGACACAGTGTTAGGCAACTACTAACCTTCTGACCATTTGTCAGAAGGAGGATCATCTGCTTCTAGACCACGGTTGACCACAGGTAACTGAAACCACCGAAGAGGGGACTACCGTGAATAACGTTTTAGTAGAAGTATGTCCCAAATATTACATGGGACATACTTACACTATAAAGAGCTATTTGATGTCTCCTGAGTTTCAAATTTCACTGGGAGTCCTGTATTTTACCCGGCCGCACTGCCTAACATGGGGCATGCCCACCCCTCTCCAGCTGCCTGAAGCCAGCTGGCCTGCCTGAGTTGAGTCTCCATTTCTCCTTCAGTTCTGCTCGACTGAGGGAGAAAGCCTAGATGACTCCACCACTCACAGCTCTGTGACTCAGCAAGTCACTTAACCTCCCTAAGCCTTGATTCTCCACTCGTGAGACAAGTCTCTCCTCCTTCCAGGGTGGTCATGAGGATTAAAAGGCCTGTAGCTGTCCCCCTGTAAACATAAAGTGATCCTCTCTGATTTTCCAATTTGATCTGCAAACAGCCTTCTAAATAGCCAGAAATGAGTGAGACAGCTGCTAGTCTTCCCAAGAAGGGGGGAAAGAAAGCTAGGCTTATCCCAGGGGACTCAAGTTCCTAATTCTTCTCTTCCAGAGACAACCAAGGTATAGGCTGTGCCCAGAGGCATAGGTTACTGCAGTCCTGAGTCCACTGGCCTTGTCCCTCACAAGACAGTGATACTTAGAGGTGTCCATCCCCATGGGTTCCAGTGGGAGCACTCCACTGGGAAATCCCAACTGCAGGCCTTTTCTAACAGAAGGGCAGAGGGGCAGAAGAACCAGTGAGGGCTACGGAGGGGATAAAAAGAAAGGAGGTAGGAGATAAGTGACCAGAACAGAGAAACTTTGTTCCCTTATACCAGCTTTCAGGAAGCCTGAGAGGCCCAGGAACACTCTGGTTGCTGAGTGGCCTGGGGCTTGCAACCCCACTTTGCTAAGAGAAGTGCTAAAGACAAGTGAATACAGAGGGGAGGCACCTTGAGCTGCTTCCCTCACATGGGCTTTCACTGTAGAGCAGGAAAACCTCCCAGTACTGCTCACTCACAGTGTCCTGCCATGATCAGATGGAGGCTGAAGCTTCTGGCCCCTGGGCACCCTCCTGGGTATCAAGCCGGCACTTGGGAGGGTTTTAGGTTTTATGGCTTAAGAATCTCATCTTTCTAATGGGAGCCAGTTTTCTGAAGGGATCTAATTTGAGTCTGTGGACTGAGTTCACCTCTACATAAAAGTAGGAAGATAATGAATAATCAGCCTTACATGAAAATGAAGGGTCATATCATCTGCTTTTCAGGAAGGAGCTCAGGGATAGGATCTCTACATCTGGGCTAAGAGAAAAGTGAGACCTGCATTATCCTGAAGCCACGCCTGCCTTCCTAAATCTTGGATTTTAATTTCAAGCCAGGAATACTTTATTCTTTCACCCCAGGCCTGGGGTCAGGGATGGGCGGGGGGCGGTTAGTCTATTCTCTTCTGGAAAAACTCCCCAATTTTCTCATCTGTAAGATAAAACCACCACTGCACACCTACCAGTGTGTTGTGAGGCCCCCCGTGAGACAGAACCCACTGAAGCACCTTCTCTACAACTTACAACACATCAGCCAATGTCTTCTTCCCGATGGGCAATTTTACTTGAAACACGTTCAACTTCAAAAGGGACTTCAATTAAACCCCCTACTGAACTAGGACATCTAGAGTGCCCTCTCCTGCTGTGAGCCTGGCTGCTACCCTGAGTCAGAAGGGAGATCTGCAAGGCCTCCACATCCCTCTCGTCCCTATCACAGCCCACCTGGACTGGGCAGGGACAACCAAAGACACCTGGGGACCCTGATGAGGGCTGCAGACGTGGGAAGTTTTGTGTGATGCATAAACCATAAGCCCTGCCAAAAAATGTTCTCTTGAGAAGAGGAGTATACAGTCGCAGGCCCTAGGCAGCCTGGGTGGCTCAGCGGTTTGGCGCCTGCCTTCAGGCCAAGGCGTGATCCCAGAGACCCAAGATCAAGTCCCATGTCGGGTTCCCTGCATGGAGCCTGCCTCTCCCTCTGCCTGTGTCTCTCCCTCTTTCTCTGTGTCTCTCATGAATAAATGAATAAAATCTTAAAAAAAAAAAAAAAAAGATAAAGTTGCAGGCCCTCACCAGTGTCTTGGGTAGAGCTGCCCAGATGAGACTGAGGCCTGACAATGACCCTGTGCCCTGGTGCAGTTGCCCTCGCAGGCCATAGAGCCTGAGAGCGGTCCCTGTGAAAGGTGGCTCGGAGGGAGTGCTCGCTGCTGGCCAGCAGACTTCTGTAAATGGGCAGTAAGCAGGGCCTGCTCTCCTCCTGTGCACAACAGAGGAAAAGTCAGCTCACCTTGACACCCACTCAGTTGAAACCCCCCAAAGCCCCTCTCCAACACTCTGCCTTGTTTCATTTCCTGCACCATACCTACTACTCGTTCACCATCTGGCCCCCTACTAGAATATAAGTGCCTCTGAGTAGAACAAGGACTAGAATAGTACCCGGCACTCAGTCAGGCAACAACCATTATTTGCTGAAAGTCTACATCCACCTAGAAACTTACAGGGAAAACTCCGGAGAGCTGAAAGGCACTTCTGAAGGCACCTCACCCAACCTTCTACCTGAGAGTTTCCGAATTCTTTAAAGGATGAAGCCTCCAATTTCAACCCGAAAGTATTTCTCCAATATCCAGTGAGAGTGCTTATATATTTAATACCTATTACCTAAGAGTAGGAAACAATTAAAAACTACTATGACTTCAGTATTACTTGAAAATAAAATTATAAGTTACAGTACTTGACATGCATTTGAATAGATATACAACTTAAATATACTGACTGGGGTGGGGGTTAAGAGATCTCACTAGAGTTCCTGCTTAGTAAAGCGAAGGAAAAGGATGGTAAATACTTTTCCAGCCGGGAGAAAATGTGGTTAACTGACAAAGTCAACATGTATCTGGATATTCAGTAAATACATCTGTCTTCATTGGTTTTTATTTTAAAAATGATTTAATATTTAAAACATAAAGTACAGAGACTAATAGAACAAAAACAGGTTCTTGGCTCTAATAGTTTTGCTGTACTCACTTAAGTGTCTTTAAAGGAAAGAAGCCCCTGTATGCCCCCGCCTGGCTCTAATCACCCTGCACCCGAGAGCTATTGCTCCAACAGGGGGTTACACCTGTCAGATTCAACTCCTCTGACAGAAGGGGGTTAGGAAGGTAGTCTTCCCTGCACAGGGAAAGGTGGGGC